AATCAACAACGAATTCATATTGACTTTTATAAAGAATCTAACTCGATTTCGCTATCTGAGGACTTTTCTAGAAAATACAAAAATCTACTAGGACTTTATATTGTAAAAATAAAATTGTAGTTATTCTCTACAGCTAATTGTACTATAACCTGAAACCGTTTATAGGTCAAAAATAAGTAATATAATAACAAAAAAACACAAATTCCTAGTTAAGCAATATTTTTTCAAAACTCGACAGAAACAAATAGATGTTGAACAAAATTTTTCATCAAAAGATTATTAGAACAAAAAGAAATGTGGGTGAAGATATGACCAATACTATAGCTACTAGGCATGCACCGAACCCGGGAACAGACCGGGATCCCCGGGTTCGGCCATTCCCGGGGTTCGGTCATTCCCGGGTTCGGTCGTACCGGGTTCGGTCGTTCCCGGGGTTCGGTCATTCCCGGGTTCGGTCGTTCCCGGGTTCGGTCATTCTCGGGGTTCGGTCGTTCCCGGGTTCGGTCATTCCTGGGTTCGGTCGTTCCTGGGTTCGGTCGTTCCCGAGTTCGGTAATTCTCGAGTTCGGTCATTCCCGGGGTTCGGTCATTCCCGAGGCCCAACCAATACTAAGTATTGCCTCAATCCAAATGTTTCATTCAATATAATATAGTTTCACTATCAGATAGATTTAATTAAGAAATAGCAAAGGTAAATCGGAATCGAGGAATCCGGATCTGAACTTCGTTTTTCAAAATTTTGAATTGAGTTTTTTGGGTTGAGGAAAGGGTTTTTTAAGAAAATAATGATATTTTATAAAGGTTGACGAAAGTAAATCGGGGTCGGGGAATCCGAATCTGAAGTCAGTTATTCAAAATTTTGAATTGAGTTTTTTGAGTTGAGGAAAGGGTTTTTTGAGAAAATAATGATATTTTATAAAGGTTGACGAAAGCAAATCGGGGTCGGGGAATCCGAATCTGAAGTCAGTTTTTCAAAATTTTGTTAGCAGATCTTTTTGCTAATTTTCATTGAAAATGTCTGATATTTATGCAAAATAGATTTCTGTAAAAATCCTAAGGAAAAATATTTGATATTTTCGGACCTGATTATTCAATCTATTCAATAAACTTACTCTACATCTTTCCGAATAGACAGCAAGCCCGAATTCCTGAGTTCAGTATTCTTGATTTCAGTAGCTCCTGGATACCGAGATTCTCTGACTTTATCAATCGTAGAGCTCAAGCATCATTAAGAACTAATAGAGTGTGCATATATGTGTATATATATATATGTCCTTAGTTGATGAGAATTTTACAGTATAAAGTGCTAATGTTTGAATTTACTGAGGGTAATTTATTCTGTTTGAAAAAAGTGAAAATGAAAACGTTACTTTTCGAATTTCTTTTTCCATTGAAATACATTTTCAATGAAAATTAGCAAAAAGATCTGCTAACAAAATTTTGAAAAACTGACTTCAGATTCGGATTCCCCGACCCCGATTTACTTCCATCAACCTTTATAAAATATCATTATTTTCTCAAAAAACCATTTCCTCAACCCAAAAAACTCAATTCAAAATTTTGAAAAACGAACTTCAGATCCGGATTCCTCGATTCCGGTTTACCTTTGCTATGAATTTCTTAATTAAATCTATCTGATAGTGAAACTATATTATATTGAATGAAACATTTGGATTGAGGCAATACTTAGTATTGGCTGGCCCCGGGAATGATCGAACTCCGGGAATGGCCGAACCCGGGAACGACCGAACCCGAGAATGACCGAACCCGGGAATGACTGAATCCGGGAAGTTCGGGCTCGGTGCACGTCTAATAGCTACCACAAAGTGCATCTATAGGATTCAAAAATTAACGAAGGAATAAACTCTAACGAAAGACGACAACTATTTAAAAAGATATTGCCGGGGATGGCGTAGTGGTTCTATGCATCTGATTACAGTCAGAGATCAGAAGGTTCGATCCCTTCCCTTGGCATGGTGCATTCAGTGTCAAGATATATGGTATCGGAAGAATAAACAAAAAGAAAAGCAACGATGCACACTACATCGTCATCATTGGCTCGATTTCGATTTTCACTCTGTTCGTTTTCATTTCTTTGTATTCTTTCTCTGTTTGTTATCATTATCTTGTCTGTTGCATACATTCGTGAGCGTCCACCAAAAATTGTAAAAAATCTCCCAAAAAAATCATGGATGTCACGAATAAAATTCAGCATAATTAAAAAAAATTTAAAAAGACATTTCGATAAAAACAGAATGTTTCAAAATGCAATGCTTGATTTTAAATTTAGGAAAATTACATGAGAAACAGCATAGTTTAGAAAAAATGAAGAAAAACTAACAATATTCGCTTTGTTTATGGAAAAAGTATTAATCCTAATAAATCTTCTTCTTCCAGAAAAGGGTAAGCAAATCGTTAGATGAGCGTAGGCATGCACCCAAACCGTTTGGATCATTTCTGCCCAAATAAGGAAAAATGCCCTTATTTACTGAACCATGCTATACAACAGTTTTTCTTCAGTGAAAAACTTAAGTAGGAGGATGACGCTATAGAATACCAAAAGAGAGATTTCGGCAACCTTCTTGGACTAAATACTAGAGTCAATCACAAAACCCAAACCCAAACTCATTGAGTTTGGGTTTGGGGGGTTGTTCAGTTCTCTTTGAATATCTCATTTAATGAAGCAGCTCATTTGATCATTTTCCATTTAGTTGTCAAAGGCAGACTTCCTTCAATATTAATGGCGATACAGTTTATTGATACAGTTCATAGTCAGTGAGATAAGTTTGAAATACCCAAATTCTTCTATTGAGTTTGGGTGCATGCCTAGATGAGCGTTACTTGTTGATAAAAATAACTATTTTTTGAAATAAAAAATGTAAAAAATGTGAGTATTTTGGTACGTTCTTTAGATAGTTTTCAGTGAAGTTTAACTGAAGAAATGGTTTAAAAATTTTTGAAAATAGACAGTTATGTAGAGCTCGATGAGCGCTATGGAACAATGCAAAATATCAAGAAAAAAATTTTACTCGATTTTTGAATTACTCGTACCTTACAAATAGAAGAATTTGATAGAAGACCTAGAGTTTTTTAGTATAGATAGAGCATTTATTACATATATGTATGGGTCGCGTTCACTTGGCCGACAATCACTTGGCCGACTCATCACTTAACCGACACCACTTCGCCGACAAATTGTTTGGCCGACATGTACACTTCGCCGATAACTCATTTGGCCGACAAATATTTTAGATCAAAAAAATTGAAATTTCTTGAAAATATTGCGTGGATTTTTCCCACTCATTCACCTATAAATAGTGAACATTTTTCAAAATAAAATCAGACGACGATTTTTTATCAGTTAAAACAAGTCTCCCGCTAACAAACTGTTTCCCGTGAGATAAGTTCGATTTTCTTCGTGGCATTGCCCATAATCTTTCATTGTAAATAAATGTGACTTTTGATAAAAAGATTTTCTGACGCAATATTTTCAAGAAATTTCATTTTATTTTACTTCAAATATTTGTCGGCCAAATGAGTTGTCGGTGAAGTGTACATGTCGGCCAAACAATTTGTCGGCGAAATGGCGTCGGTCAAGTGATGTGTCGGCCAAGTGATTGTCGGCCAAATGACCCGGACCCACTACAACATATACCTCGATCTTTTCTATTTCCTTCTATCCTTTGTTCTTCTGATATCTTCTATCTTATGATTTCACTCTGATTACTTCTTTCTTTTTCCCTCGATTAACCCTTGCGCGTCTTTCTACTTTTGTCTTTATTTTCATGTTCGTAGATATACACTCGTTGTTTATCAAATAAGTAGAGAGAAGAAAACACACACTTTTTTCGAACACGTAATGTTCGTCGCTCTTCACGAGCGCGAACGCTGACAAGAAAAACAAGCAAGAAATATGTAAATACTTTCATTGCTAGTTAAGACATCTTTTTCTGTTCACTTTTCTTGCTTTACATATCTACATTTTGATCTAAACTGCATTCAGTTACGAGAAAAGGTATTTAGATGTTCAATCCGTTTGGACTCCATCTTTTGGCCATAAGTAGATCTCAATGAGATATAAGAAACCTGAAAAGAATTCATTCTCTCAGCCCTTTATTCCTGAGATATCGAATTTTTAAAAAAATTTTCCCACAGGATCCAAGGTTTCCAGGAAAACTATATTGTTGAGTTTTGAGCTGAAACTTTGCCGACATCAAGGCCTCAAATAGACTAGACTATATACAAGATTCTAGAATTGTTGAACTTAACCTTCATGAGATATGAATAATTTAAAGTATGGACGCTGTTTCACAGGCATTGTAAAACATGGATATTTTGAAATATTCATATCTGATGAAGGTTACGTTCAACAATTCTAAAGTTTTGTATATAGCCTAGTCTATTTGAGGCCTTGATGTGGGCAAAGTTTTAGCTCAAAACTCAATAATATAGTTTTCCTGGAAATCTTGGATCCTATGGGGAAAATTTCTTAAAAATTCGATATCTCAGGAATAAAGGGCTGAGAGAATGAATCATTTTCAGGTTTCTTATATCTCATTGAAGTCTACTTGTGGCCAAAAATGGAGGCTAAATGGCTTGAACACCTAAATACCTTTCCTCGTTAGTCAAGAATCGGATCAAAACAAAACAGAGATCGGTCTGAAAAGCTTTGAATCGAATCATCCTCATCTCTAATATCAATAGCTTGATGACACAAAACTGAATAGTTATGAACAATAATCACGTACTATTTCACGTGCTTTTAGATGACAATTTGTAATTAACTCCTTATAATTTGGATTTCTCTTTATAAAATCATAACTTAAAAAGAACTATCCACTAGATGAAAATATGGAATATGTTAACACTTGACGTGCTTATAAAGAGACTTATGATTGTCAGCAACAAACTGTTTTTTCGATTATATCTTTCGAAGTCTTTTACTAAATGAGACGGTTTGCTAAACATTTTCAAGTCAATTAATATTAACATTCTATGAATTTAAAAAATAAACTCACCTTCTGATGGAGAACCTTTAGTACGATCAGGGTGTGTTTGAGGCTGATGATGTTGATCTTCCCTTAGTGCCATACAACAGGAACATGTTCCCATATCATTATCATTATCTAATTGATTAAGAGAAGCAAATTTTTGTGAGTATAAAGCAGGTTCGACTTTAAAAATAGCGCCTATTTTTGGTTTAATTATTTTGTCATAGATTTTTTGTAATGAATCACCACAAGAATTACGTAGGTCATCCTACTATGTAGAAAAGAAAAAGAACAATATATGAGTATTTATAAGTACAATTGAACCTCTTTAATGCTTTCCGCATACAATTGTGCAAGTTTCTCATTATCTTGAAATATGTCAGTTAATGAAAAATCAAGATCAAGAAATAATTGAACAAATTTTGTTCGATCACGCATGAGGGCGAATTCAAACATAATCTTTAACTCAGATACCTAATAAAAAAAAATAAAGATTGAAATAGGTGTATTCATGGATCTCGATAGGTCGATTCGGTGATCACGTCCAAATCCTATGAAACTTTCAGAGTTTCTAGAACTCGTTGCCCTGATTATTTTGGTTATAAAGTTGTTAAGGTCTAACTCTATTTTCATAAAGATATATATCAAATACTAACAATGCATTTTATGTATAAAATGTATTATTTTGTGTTTTCATGCAGAATATGATAAATGGACTTGTATCGAAAAATGGGCAAAACTCAATTATAATCTATTCAAATTAGAAAATCAATACCATATTCAGATTCCTTGTGAAAAATATGTGTCAGAATCGTTAAAAATCCCAAAATATTATGCTACAATTAAGGGTTTACTCAAGGTGGAAACAGCGGAGACTTCACGACTGAAGTCTCATGAAGTCTTGAAAGTCTTTCGAAGTCTTCTGAAGTCTCTTGAAGTCTTATG